TTTATGTTAATCTCAATTTGCATTATTGATAGTTGAATTTGTGCGTTGTGTGTTAATGTTTTTACATATTATTCATGTTTCTTGTACCTACACGGTTTGTATAAATATATTTTTATGTTATATAGATGACTGGTGACGAATACAACGACTTGGAAAAAGACGAAGTTAATATAATTTCTGGAGCCCTCGAACTTCATCGCAAAAAAGTCGGCGATGTAATGACCAAATTGGAGGACGTGTACATGCTGTCATACGATACGGTGTTGGACTTTGAAACCGTCTCAGAAATAATGAAATCTGGTATGTAGAGATTTTGTTATAAAAATGATTTAGTGCATAATGTACATTATTCATAATATTATTTTCCTAACCGTAAATTAACAACAAAGTTATCACTGTAATTACTAATTTGGCGTAGCTGAGTAGGTATATCGTAATATAATATTATATTCATTATACAATATTAATTGATTGTATAATAAAACTAAATTAAAGATATTTGTTTGATAAAAAAGAAATATATTATGCAAGGTTCCTATGAAAAGTGGCAAATTAAAACAAATCGATTTCGTAGTAAATGATAAGATTTATTTTTATTTTATTTTATTGAATAAAATGGCATAATAAAGTAATTGAAAGACAATTATAATACAATTTTTAGTGAAAATTGTACACATTAAATAAATAACGATAATAAAGATTAATTTTTAATTGTTTATCTATTAAATATTCACGGCTAAGCAATAACTATTATTAATTTTAACATATAATAACGATAATGTGGCCATTATACGATGCGATGCATATATAATATGTTGACTGTTTAGTGTTAGGTGTTATCGAAATACTAAAATATAACTACCTATTATATTATGAGTTCAAAATTAAAATATTGTATATCATGCTTAAATTATGATTGAAATGTTTGTGAAACGGTTTAGTAGTTATGCGTATAATATTATGACCACCAGCTATCTTCCGAATAGGTAAAAAAAAAATGTACTCTTGCCTGTTATTATAATGTTTAATATAAATTATAAACACAGCGGTATATCAATATATGAATTTCTTACGTCTGTAAACGAAAGATTGTCTGAAAGTCCAAGGCAAAACGTTTTGATTTCTGAAATGTTTGGTATACATACTATATACATATTATTATATTATAGTCTTAATAACATTAATATATTATACGGTCAAACATAAATAATATTATTATTGTATCTGTTTGAATGGACGACATAACTGCCACAGCAGACGTTTGTCATAAAAAATAATAATAAAAATAAAAACCCTAGGAATCTACAAAATATATTTAAATCGATTTTTGGCAATCGTGTAAATGCGTACACCGTACGCCACGCGGTTCGCATATTATATATGATCTATATTTATATTCTCTCTAGCCGTGGTGCCTGCTACACTGCTGCAGGTGCAATACATTCGAAAGATTTTTCGACTATCGCATAAATATTTCTAGTATCAATGGTCCCGTTGTATGGAGTGGGCAGCGGATAACGAGTAAAATGTTGAAAAAAAAAAAATTAAAATTAAAATTAAATCCGTTTTGAGAAGTCCGTGGGCACTGGGCCAACGGGGAACCGCCGCCACCGCCCAAGTTCCAACTATAAATATAACGCCGCCGCCGTACAGACGACGTAAAGCATGTAACTCATGCGAGATTTTTTATGGTTTTTTTTTTTTCCAATTCATCGAAGGGTTGTGCTTGATTTCAAAACGCATTTGTATTCACATTACACAAAACACAGTAATATTATACCTACTGCATGTAAAATATCAGATCAAACGTGTCTCTTATCAAATCACATTTTAGAAACGACCTTTAGGAAATATTATGGTCCCAGGGGTATCTTAAGATCTTTCAACTCACGTTCTCGCTCGCCGTCATTCATATACGCATACACACACAATAAATGTATTCTCGACTTTCCGTGGCTTTTATTAAATATCGCCATTTTACAACATAAATGTCACGTGTTTAATTCGTGGGACGTTTGCAATTTGATTGTTTTTAAAATGGTTTTTTTTTTTTTTTTTTGTCCAAGTATTATGTTTTGTTTTTATTTTTATCAGGATACTCGAGGATTCCCGTGTACGAGGGCAACCGTCAAAATATTGTTACCATGTTGTACATCAAGGACTTGGCGCTGGTCGATCCCGACGACAACACATTGCTTAAAACGCTGTGCCAATTCTACCAGAATCCGTGTTATTTCGTATTTGAAGACACTACACTCGACGTACTGTTCAAGCAGTTCAAAGAAGGTAAATAATTTATTACCCTTTGCCGCAGCGATAGTTTTGATCATGAATTGGTTTTGAAGGAGTGTGAACCGGTTTGATAGCCATTGCTAAATTACCAATCACCAATTACCCTATCCGAATTTGAACCAAATTATAACAAATAAACTATTAGTCTAACGTTCTAAACGGAGGACCGACGTTTTCAAAAAAATATATTATTTTTTTTTTGGAGGATACGACTATTGGTTACCGTCGGTAGATGACACTATTAAGTCTTAGCAAATAATAGATCAAAATTATTATTAGTATCATTTATTACAAATATACTAAATTATTATATAAAATTAAAAGTAACAGATATTCCACAAAGTGCGTACTATAGTCGGGATTTTTAAAAATAATCACTTCGTAGATATTCCAACTGAGACGGACGTTGAGTTAATTTATAATTACCACTTATAACACTCACAGCTGTCTCTTATCGTAATGGTTTTGGCAAACTTATCAAGATTTATAAAGTTCATTTAGATTATTTCCATATAATAAATACTTTTTTTTAATTCGTGTCCAATTAAAATATATGGGACCCGCGTGTATATTATGCTAAAATAAGATAAAGACACTATAAAATTCTATAGGTAACTAAATTCATACTAATGAGGTAGGTACATAAAAAAAGTTTATTGTAACTAAATCTATTTACCAATTATATTACTATTTGTACTTTCTATACCTATTGTATATTTTAAGATTAACAGTAACTGTAATAACAATATATGTATATTTATAATAATTGACATAGTAATTGGATGTTCGCCCGTTTAATCGTTTGAATATAAAAATAAATAAATAAATATTATATACCTAATACTTATATAAAAAAAAAATTGGTCTTTTACTGGCCAATGATGTAAATTCCAAAGATTGTGGTCAGAGATGACAAAATTATAGCATTTTTAACTAAGGTACGCAATTTTAATAATTATTTTAATTTCATCCCCCCCCCCACGTCCTTATTCATTATCATATACTGGGCATTCAATATGTATGTCTATAAGGCATAAACTATAGTTTTTTGTCTACCAGCTCATAAGTCATTTTGAATTCTGATTTATGCATTTCGATAAGTACCATATAATACACATATTTAGGACTCCTAAATTAGGAGTACTTATATTTAATAATCCCTCTATCATAGATTATTAACTTTTAATTCATAAATTGCTTAAATGAGTGGTTGATCTATTTTTGACCAACTCGCAACTGTTCATTGACGACAATGGTCGAAATGCCGGACAAAGTATACGATTTCGTAGTTTTTAAATTCTTAGGCCTATGTCGTAATTTCCCACATTAACATATATTATATTAATATTACACGATATTTGTGTTATAATCATATCATTATTTTGGTTAATATGCAAATTTTCAAGTGATATTTTACTATAAATATTTTTTTTTTAAATAATAATATTTTGTTTATTGTTGTCTTAATGCACTACTTAACAATTATGAATTAGGTACAAAAGTACCATTTCCTCAAAAGCCAAAGAATATGCTTGAGGAGAGCCGAGAGAGCATCTAATTAGGGTAGATCAAAATATAGAATAATTAATTATACTACAAAACGAAAATTAAGCTAATAATGTATACATTTATATATACTTAACATAATTATCCTTATAAATAGATTATTGTAATAAAACATTTGTTTTATATATTTTGGACATTTTAAAACTATTAACATTGTGAATAATAAAATTATATTTAATACAAAATTGAATGAACTTACGTTTAGAGCTTTGTTTGTGGTGTATTTGATCAGATAGGCATGAATCAGTTTTAAGTTAAAACAACATTTTTATTTTAGAATCAGTATACCAATTGCTCTATTTATATTTTATTGTCAGTACCTATAGCAATTTAGTTTTACCTTCAGGCTTGAAATATATTATGTTTTTTCGTATATAACTTTGAATTATCATATTTTAAACACAAACTAGCTATGTAGGTATGTTAAAATAATTAATGGTATGAATTTGAGTTACACCTATCATAGACGAAATCAAGTTTTCACTATCGTCGCCCGCTATAAAATATATATTTATCGTAACATTGCAACAACGATAGTGTGATACTATCAGAAAGCTACTTTTTGATTTGCAATTGTTTTTGATTATATTTATAATAAGCTTTAATTATTGTATTTTTTTATTTTATTAAAGTAATTTAAGAGGACGTTACACAGATAGTTGTTGTATCCGTCTTACAAGTTCATAACATACTCTCAGCAGATCACGTTTAACTCAGTTAATTTAAAAATTAGAGTGAATCAACCTATTATGAAACTTGATGATAAGAACATTATTTGTGTTTGTGGGTTTTTTTACGATAATTCAGTTTTTTAGTGGGTTATGAGCATTTTTCATTTACGCTATATTACATACCCATAACTTACTAAAAAATTGAACTATCGTAAAAATACCACATACAAACACAGATAATGTACTTACCATAAAGTTTCATAATGAGTCAATTCACTCGAATTTTTAAACTAACGAAGCTGAACCGCTTTCTCCTAAGCGTAAATTTGCTATGTTACACACTTGCAAGACGAAGGCATAACAAATGACTGGTATAGCGTCCTCTTAACTAAATTTGTACTGAATATAATAAATATTATTTACACATATTTCAAATGTAAATGACTTATTACTGGGCAATAGCTATTATTTAGCACAATATATTGGTCAATAAACCTTACAAATGACCGAGCGCAACTGGTCTATCGACTTAAAATGTCTTGAGCGCACTTGGCATAATATGAAAAGGTCCTTTTAAGCTCAATTGGTAATCCCAATCAGTGGTCGAAAATATTCTACCCACTATTGTTTTGAATATTATGATAAACTATGTTTGTCTAAAGATAATCCTAGGTGCTTATGCTGTTGGGATTTTTAATACTCAGATTAATGAGGTACCTATATATATATATGTATATACACCTAAAGTTAACATTCCGACACTTGAATGCCCATTGTGCCGTACTTTAACTGAATGCAACGTGAAAACTTAACTGCAAACGCTATGGTAATAACAATAATAAACCCAAAACCCTTCAACATTCAAAGAACATACCTACATCTGAAAGTTTTTTTTTTCAAATGCTATTATATTTTATAAATTGTCATTAAATATTAACTTTTCTGAGTTCTATACTACAAAAAGAAAAAATCGTGCTTGTTACGCGTATATATATATATATATTCGTTAACATGTATTTTTTATAATTTTGAAAATAATAATTTAACTTTTGACAGTGATGTATTTAGGCTTATAAAAATTCTATCTCGACTTATTCGCTGAAATTCCCACATTTAACCATGTTTACTAAGAATCAATATTAATAAAATGTCAAACTATAACTATAACTAACAGTAATATATTTTAACGTCAAAAACTTTTAAATCTTTTGTTCTAAATGACATAATAATATTTTCTGGATATATATCATGAATATTGGATTAAAATCATGACATTTTATTGGACTCCTTATAAAAGTGACGAATAATTTTTTTTCTTAAATTGCATAAATTTAAAATAATGATTTACTTATTTTGCTAAACTTGTAGGTTCTAGGAAACATACGCGCTTACGATCTCTTATGATGATAATAATAAAAATAATAAACACAAGTACAATGGAAAAGTCAATGAGATTTCTTTCGTCCATTTTACGGATTTTACAAATATAGTATTGCGATATTTGTGATATTTTAGAATTAAAATATGGTCGCGTAAAAAAAATTTTTAGTGTTTGAAATAAGATTTACATCGTCAAGTTGAGAAAATTGATGCTACAGAATCTTTATTGTTTTTTATATATTTATTTTATTTTAAATAAACAGGTATTAAAGGACATATGGCATTTGTTCATCGTGTGAATAATGAAGGCGAAGGCGATCCGTTCTACGAAACTGTTGGCATAATAACACTGGAAGATGTAATTGAAGAATTGATTCAGGCTGAGATCATGGATGAAACTGACGTTTACAGTGAGTAGCGTGTCAATAGTACACCTAACACTATAGTTATTATTGTTTGTATTATTTTCAGCCGATAACCGTTCGAAACAACGTCGACAACAGCGTTCACTCAGAACTCAAGACTTTACAGCATTTGCCGAGCGCAGTGATAACCAACGTATCCACATTTCTCCTCAACTTACTTTGGCCACATTCCAGTTTTTGTCGTCGAGTACGTACTTATAAACTTGTATACGTCATATAATTATGCGCGTACGTATCTCACTGGTGTCGGTCCCAGACAGTAATTTTTTTTTCTAATTACCGTTTTTGAAATATGATTTTGGATAATTATCAGCTGATAGTTATTACTGCGTGTTAGAGAGCCAAATTTATTGTTGCCATATGTTGTAGTTTAGGGTTCACTCGAAATAAAAACATTTCAATATTTGTTTCATATTTTTTTATATTTCTTAGAACTTTGAGATATCAAATTTAGGACTTGTTGATGTTATAAAAGTTGAGCAACTAATTTCCTTGGAATATTCAAATAGTTAGGCGGTTGTATATTAAATCGATGAGCTGATATTATTATGTAAGAAAACAAATACAGTGAGACCTAATATGTATAGTGTGTGTACATTTTATCGAGCTGCTTTACAAATACATTTGCATGAATGCTTTTTGACTTGATGATTTCGTTAAACTAGGTGTCGAAGCTTTCAAAACAGATGTTGTATCAGAAACTATTTTAATGCGTCTGCTCAAACAAGACGTGATATTCCACATAAAAATGAAAGATAAAGAAAGATTTAAGTCTGATCCGGCCAGTATCATTTACCAGCAGGGCAAACCAGTCGATTACTTTGTGCTCATATTGGAAGGACGTGTCGAAGTCACCGTCGGTCGTGAAAATCTTGTATTCGAAAGCGGGCCATTCACGTACTTTGGATCACAGGCATTACACCAGAACATCGGAATCGGTGAGTTAGACCAAACAAAGTGATTCACTAAGCATACTCTCCCTAATTGTATTATTAAAATTATCCATTAATACAAGTTCTGTTTCTTAATTTGTAACCATACTCAAGACATATATATTTTAATATTAATACGAGTACTTTTTCAAACAGTTAGATTTTTATAATTATTTTAAACTATCGGCATACACAATGGTGATGTTTTTTTTTATTCAGTAAGAACCTCCTTTTTTAGATTTTACTACGACATATACGTATAACATATCATCGAAATTCGAATGAGTAGTTACTTACTTGATATATTTGATAGTTGATCAATATCGATGAACTTTTGAATGTAACGTATTAACTTAAGAATTTGTTTTAAAATGTGTTAACAATTTTACGAGTAATTTAGTACTTGACTATATAGTAAACATTACCTAATATCTTTAATTAATATATGTCTTATATTTTATATTATACCCAATCAATAGATAATGTTTCTAAACGATTTAAAACCATTATATCCGATTAGGAAAAAAACCTAAAACCTAAGCATTTGAAAATATAATCTTTAATTTTAAAATCTAAAAATCTGAATTTTATAATTGGATTCAATTAACAGATAAAATTATCTCCATTAGATGAGTATGCATGGTAAATTGTAATCGTCATGTGTAAACGTTCGCCGGCCGTCTTTGATGTACTATCTACTTTAGTCATTACTGTATTACCAAATTTTTTTCAGGCGAGTCACCACCATCTGGAGCCAACCCTACAATGGCCAATTCAACTGTGAACAACATGGGCAGTATACAGTCGGTCAACATTGATGCCATGTTGCGTTACACTTTCGTGCCCGATTACTCGGTGCGTGCCGTTACTGAGGTTATGTACTTACGTGTGAAACGTTCGTTCTACATGGCAGCAAAACGCGCCACACTCATGGAACGTTCTAAGAAAATGTCAAACGCCGGTGAATTTGATGAAGAAGTTGACAAGGTGATTAAATTCTAAGACTTGCAACTATATTATATTGTTTACCCCTAAGACGTGGTTCCCTCACCTCAGGCCAACTACCCAAACACAATTTTGATTTGTTTAACACTGTATTGTCATTTAATTTATAAAAAAAAATATTTGCTTTTTGAACGTTTTATTAACTATGTAGAACAGATTTATTTATTTAAATACAATAGGACAACTTGTCACTGAAGTGTATTCTTTTCTATTGACACAATCAAAGTCACATAGGTATTAACTAGTGAACAGGACAGAGCTGATTCTTATCTCTACAGTTCACAATGTTAAACCAGTCACTATTTCATAGATACTCAGACTGTATTTTATTGGTGTTTTGATTTTGGTTTTTTTAGTCTTATAGAATTCGTTATTGTAATAATTACTTATTACAATTTCACATAAATTATTTTTATAGACTGTCATTTTATTTAAAATAAGTTTCTCCCCCTCCATTTAATTACTTGAAATTGTTCAACAAATATATATTTTACTTAAATATGACAATGTGACAATATGGTTTAATGCACTACAAATTTTATTTCATAAAATTGTTTTACATTTTGCAATTAATAAATCTTCAATCTTTGTTTAATTTTTTTTTAAAGCTGTTCCATACTTATGGAGACGAAGACCGGAAGAGTATCCAAGGTTCTCCAGACGTAACTAGAAATGCATCTCAGGTAAAGCGCAGCAATTTATTATATAAAGTTCATATACACAAAGAGTTCAATACATAAAATATTACACAGAAAAAAATTATTAAAATGCAGTTTCTGTAATTTTAATATTTATGGTGTAAACGCGTTTCAGCCCAACATCTCAGATTTCGCACTTCGTATTTAGGTGGATTTGTTCGCTGCAACCAGACCGCGAACACTTATACTGCTAGAAACTAGTCTGTAAACCAAAACATTATATTTTCCTTTCCTAATCCTTTGAGAAATGGTGAGTGGGAAACTGAAATCAAAAAAAAAAGTAAAATAATTTACTATGATATATGATTTTGCAGTCACTATACCAAAAGCACGCTTTGAAATATTATTCCACGTTGATGATATTATTGAGTTCATTTCCAATTGGCTTCCATCGTTTCAATTTTGTTCATTCATTAGGAATAAAATATAGACAATATACCTAGCTCATAATACTGATTTGTTTTTAAAATTACCCTAGAGTGTGACACTAAAATATATATATCAATGTTTGTTAAACCATGTTTATACCCACATGGATGATGAGTAGTGGCGTACGCAGAGGAAAGGATGTCTAACAGGTATCCCCCCTCCCCCACTGTATTATTATTTATTTAATTTTTATATACATATCAAATTTCAACTGTAGTTAACTAATAATAAAGGACAAATTCATATTATACGTCAACAGATTAGCTATAAGCCTACATCCAGAGTAAATAAAAAAAAAAATAATCGACAGAAGTTGAAGTTGTATAACAATTTTCAAATATCTCATATAAGTCTATAATTATTTGACTGAATAAAAATAAAAATAAGATTGTATTTTATTTCACATATTATTCTTATGATATAAAGTTTCAATCAGTATGAATTAAGAAAGCACCTGTTTTTTTTTCAAACTTAAACTTGTAAGTTGTGACAACTTAAAATTAATAATTTTCAAGCCAACCCCTCCCCTAATCATCGTTGAAAAATGCTGTGTACGCCACTGATAATGGGTACAAAAGTACTGAAGTATGTACATTTCATACATACATACATATATACATACGGCATACAAACATACATACATACATATATACATACATACATACATACATACATACATACATACATACATACATATATACATACATATATACATTCATACATACATGCATATTACATACATACATATTGTATACATACTTTACAATAATATTTTCTTCACAGATAAATCACCGTAAAAGTTCGCTCGTGCCCCTCAAGTCCGAAGGGCGTTCGAGTAATACGAAAAGAAACAGCAACGAGCTGTTTATATGAGGTAGTAGGAGTGAGCGAGTGTCATAAAATAATGCCCAAAGTTGTTCACTAACTGATTTACGATTTTAACCTTGATTTGATTACCAGTTGATTTCTAACATTGACTGACAGTAATTTAACAACCGATACGTTGATTCAATATGTTACATTTTTATTTGAAGTTAATTTATAATAATATATAAACAATACATAGATAATAATAATATGCTTTTTAACATTTGTTTGCAAATTGTTCTTTAAGGATTTGTTTGTATCGATACAAATACATAACATCCTTGTTGGACTACCTATTTTAGATTTTGAATTTTTACGCACACTTTCAACATTTACAAATGAAACATTATTAACACCCATCAAACACAACACTCATATTCTTTGTGAAATTATTTAAAATACACAACATTACTGATTCATAATATGCAAACTTTATTTGTATAATTGTATTATGTCATAAAATAACTATATAATATAACATATACTAGTTGAATATTGTGCGACAAATCACCAATTGGTTTGTCGTTGAATCTTTTTAAAATGTTATCCAAATACATATGACATCTTACAACAATCGATGAGATGTACCGTTTATTTGCTTCAATTTAATACTTTAAAAATAGGTAGTGCACATTTGTCAAGTGTGTTTTTAGTCGTTTTACTTTAATATAACATATCATGTTGAAATACATGATTAACCTTGTAACTCAACAATTTTGTAATTAATGTATTGTTGGTTTTAAAAATAAAATAAAATAATATTTCTCATTACTTCTTATACCCCTTTACACGCATTACACAATAATATATTTACAGATATTATACAACACACGCATTATTATTGTACTTTGAGCTTTAAAATATGTATAAAATATTAAGTGTTCATTTTTAATTAAATTTTTTGTTGTTACATAATTCAAATACATGCTATAATATTTGCTGATCATTATCTAATAAAATGTATATGACTTGCAGACAACCGTACAGCCATCTACAATTTCGGCCAACGCAGCATCTCTTAACAACGGAGAACCTACTCAACCTGTAGCCGTAGCATTCTCACGAACACCTCAAGGTACCTCTGACGCATCGGCTGAAGAAAAAATCACACTTTTGGGCACAAACACATTGTCCGCTGCTACAAAATTGGACGCTACTGATCCATCATCTTAGGTCTATCGATAATGATGTTAATTTTTAGTCTGTTCTTTTATAAGTGTCATGTTTTTTTTTTGCTTTACTTTAGATTTAATAGCGTTTATTTAGGGACGTACATTACACCATTGATTGTATAAACTATAAATTGCTCACTGAGCATTTTTTCAGTGGCGTATAAAAAACTTGGTTTGTATAATCAATGATTACACATAAGCACGTAGCAGATAATATTTAAGTTTATATTTTTTTTCTATTGTTATGTGTTACGTATAATTTTTGACTTAAGTAGTTCTAGTCCAGCATTATTGTGTTCAGTAAGTGTCCATAAAATCCCATCAGTCTGTCTGAACAATACGCGAGTCAACCAATATATTGTGTACATTTTCATTTATTTACGCTCTCTTTACGCTCGTATTGGACAAAAATAATTATTAAACTGCCATAACGGCTGCACACTGAGGACTCGACTCCCATTTTTATCATTCTAGTGACTAACTACTTCAACCAGCTTTTATTTTATTGTACTTTTTTTACGATTTATAATATAATTGCTTTGTTTATTTCATATTATTATTTATAAAAATATACACAATACACACCCATTTATATATTATATATTACATATATAAGTAAGCTTTGTGTCCCGGTGACGCGGAAATCCGTTTTGTATATATGCAAAAGCGAATCTCCAAGGCTTTTCGTGTCTCTTAAATTTTCAACCGATTTACGACCCCTCAGAGTGATCTCAGAGGTATGCGAGTCCTCGTATTTTTTGATATTAAGTTGTATTAAGAAATCGACGAATCTAAGCAATATCGGTACTGTTCTTTCTTTCTTTTTTTTTTAATGAAATTAATAATATTTTACTTCTATAATCAATAAACAAAAAAAAAAAAAAAAACAATTAAGTTAAATTGAAATATAACATAAAATTTTAAATTAATAATTTCCTTTAACTAAACGACATCACTATTAAATCGTTTACCTTTAAAATACGTTCTTCGACTTTGTTATTAATTTTTTTAATTGTTTGAGTATTATATATTGCTATGTATAGATATTCTACAAGTTTTTTAATTGACTTAAAAATTAACACAGTAACGTGGCGTTTTATAATTCTTAGGAATGCGCTCAAATTAAAGTATAAGTAATTATAGGTTATAAAAATAATCTGAATGACGTTTGGTGAATCGTTACATAATATTTAGATTCAGAGTTAACTAGTCTTTTTTTAAGCTTACTGTTCATGTTATATAATATATAGTGATGTTCGTTGAAAACAATTTTTAAAAAAGAAGAATAGTTGGAACAAAATAATTAGTTAATATATGGAAGGGGAGAAGAAATATAATGTTGAGAGTTTATAAACATAATATATTTATATATAATAATGATTATTGATAATATTATAAATTACAATTATTAATGTTTGTATACTAAATTTTTCGTAATATTTATCTGTTGCGTGTAAGGAATTATATAATATTAGAGATACCTTATGATATAATTAAGCTGAATAAAAATCTTAGAGCTATATTCGACAGTAATCGACTGATGGTTATTGAAATTTGCCCAACAATATCAACCTTTCAAGAGTCTGATCATAACATCAGTTATTGTGGTTCGGCGCTATGAGCACGACTGACATAATGACACATTAAAATATAATAATATAGTACAATCTACGCGTATCGATACGAACATGCACCTTGTAAAAGTGGTGCTCGATTGTCGTCAAACGTATTATTAATATCATAATTTTTTTTCTCGGCCACTTAAAATGTCAAACGAACCATAATGTCTCAAACGTAGGCTATACAGAAATAAAAACACGAACCGACCACATGTGTCTGAAAGTGGTATATTATTTAAGCACAGCAATATCATAAGGCCGTACCGGCGCGTCACATGGTACGACAAAATTAATAACTATAATGATAAAATATAAATTAAACAATTTGAATAATTTTCTAACGGATTGTTCGCGAATGAGAATGTTACGAGCCCGTGACAATTTCTGGAAGATTTCCGGGCTCTTCTTTTATGTGCGCTCCTTCAGTGAAAAAAACATTTCTGTTGTATACACACACAAATATATATATGGCCTGCCAATAATATAATATTTTACTTTTGTCGCCGTTTTTGCCCATTTCCATAGTCTTACACATTTTTCTTATTTATAGGTACCTACCTATAAAACATTATGTATACATTTCGGATTATACGTTGAGCGTACAATTGCGTTATACATGTTTTACTGATACGAATAATTATAATCGTTTCGCCTTGTCATCATTTATGATCAAAATAATAATATTATATTATTATTATTATTAAATATTATTATTTGTATTTAAGTATTCGTTGTTAAATTGTTTACTTTACCGAAAAGTATATTCATTAATAGACATAAAACATTTTCGTGTAAATCACCATTATTATTTTAATATTAACTATTTATGTAGGTGCCTCGTACCTATCTTTATTGTGCCCATATACAATAATATTGTTATATTTTAATTTAATGTCGAAGATATTATTGTTGAGCATATAACTACAAAATATTTTATGTTTAGTTTATAGTTTTTTAATTATCTAATGTCGTGTAATAAGAAAATATTGTTTTTATTTAATTTATTTATACTATTTATATCATTATTATTTTTTAGAATAGTTTTTTTGCTATACTTTATCTGCTAATAATGTGTACAGTGTTTGTGCGATAAAATTATGGGAGAAATATGGATATTTCTATTATCGCGTTCAGTCTGTTAAAAAACTATATTGCTGTTGGGTTTAGACTAGGCATTATTATAATATATATATTATATACATATACTAAATTTAAGGTTAAAAAAAAATTAAATTAAATTAAATTATAATAATAATCGTTTTTCAGCCAAGTGCTAGTTGTAATATTATCAGCGATGGTCAAGTAAAAAATGTTTAATTGACATTGCTGATTCACAATAGTTGTATAGACTAATCTAGTAATAATAATAATATTAATCACTTAAGCTTATATTTGATGTAGGGTCATAATAAAACAAACATGCCATTACAGCTGATGTTTAACAGACAAAATATATTATGTATTATTTGTATTTGAATTAGTTTAAAAATTTAAAAATTATATTAATACTGGCTGTGCTGCTCTCAATGTTCAGCTATACGTTTAATTTTAAATTATCTATAAAATCAACTAGTTGATGAAATTTAGTTAAGTTTAATGGTTTCAGTTAAGTATTGTTTACATATTCGACACAGCCAGTACCAATTCTGGGGCCTATATATTTATATATAAGTAGCTTTAATATATTAACATAAAACAATTATACACCAGCATGGAGTTAAATCAAATTAGATCAATCTTATAGTACTTAAAAATATTATAGTATCCATTCAGTTATATATTATTTTTAATATGTTAAAAATGATACAAATAACTTTTTTTTTAAATATAATTATTAAAAACCTATTCTGTTGTCCAGTACATGTAATATTATGTTAAACATTTATTATTATAATTATAGATAAATAGAAAATTGACTTTAATGTTTATTTGTGGTATTTATTTTTTATATTTGTTAGTTATTTGTTTCAGAGGTTTTTGAAAAAATCAATTAAATTATGTTTATCAAAAATACAGTTGGTAGGTACGATAGTGACAAGTGAGTCTGTGAGCAATTTCTAACTGATAATTGACTGCATTATTTTACCAATATCACGATCTTTTTTCACAACCTTAAGATTTACATTTTTAATGACTTAGGATTATAGTACCTTAAGTCAAATATTATATCTACTAGCTAAGTACCTATGAACTTAATACTTATTACCTACTTGTTATTAGCTAGGTCAGCGGTTCTCAACATTTTTATGGTGTTATCCACGTACCACCTTCACAGTTTTACAATTTTCATATACCACTTGGCCAAATAACGTTTTTTTTTTTTTTTTTGCTTATTAAAAATGAATATTGAATACGCTATTTTACATGTATCAAAACTAATTTATAAGCATTTAATTCATAAAAATAGAATGAAATATATAAAATTGTTATTTATATTATTATTTAATATCAAAAAAACCAAATAATATATATTGTGAATAATGATCCATTCCATTTTTTTTTGTTTTATAAAGGGAGATTGATGAAGGTTGAGAAACGCTGAGCTAGGTACTTACTTAACATGTCTTATATATGCTCAATGTAGTAATTCTACATACCCAATTCTTACTACAATTCATTTTAAGTTAATATTAGACTATTAGAGAAAATTTACATATTATATCAAATTCATAGAGATGAATATGAAACTGCCAAAGTGAAGAGTTTGTTTACAAATATTTATGAGATTTAAAATATATTTTGGACTTGGAAAAATAAAGTATTTAAGTTCTTATAACTGATTTTAAAACGAAAATATGAAAACAAAACTCTTTGCACACCAGAGTACCTATATATTCTTTTTTACAAATTCGATATTACCTATATACATTAATTTTACTAATATTAACTATAAACGCATTAGTAAGAATAATTTAAAACAGGACATGAGAAGTGCTTGGTTTTGGGTGTCAGTACACCTACATTTTCAGAAATAATTGCTTTAATATTAGAATATAAAATGAATAGTAATTAGTAGCCACGGCATATGACAACCTTGTAACCACAAAGGGTAAAACTATAAAATACAAGAATAAAATATTCTCATTTATGGAGTTTATCAAATGAAAATAAATAAAAAGATGTTTGTTCACAACAAATTAAATAAAATTAATGTTTTTTTTTATAAATGCATCTCCAGTGATGTCAGCTTAGTACTAACATGTTTCTTGTTATTATTAGATTTTAAAAATTTTATAAAGTAAATATACATTTTATATAATATATATATATGTGTATAGGTAGCATAGACATATTATAGAATATACTATAAATAACTAACTTAATTATTGATCTGTTTAAAAAATAATAACATTTCAAGTAATTGTAATAGATTATGAAATGT